ATGTATGATTCGAAAACTGATCTCTCTGTAACTGGAAAATGTTGTGTGGGTTTTGTTTTTGTTTTTGTTTTTTTTTTTTACTGAAAAGCCTCCAATTAAATATTTTTTTATGGAAATATGAATTTGTTTTAATGATTTTGTTTTAGAGTTCAGAGATCCTGTTTTCCCAGAAGTGGTGTTGAAGAAGTGAAGTGTAAGCCTGAGATTTCTGTTTCAGAAGTTTAGCAAGCTGTAGTAAGTGCCAAGTCTGTATAGCTCCCAGATGGTCAGTAGCACGTCTGAAGAGAGGCGTTTTAGTACTTGAAGGGAGCTATGGGATTTCATATGCTGTTAAATAAAAATTGGCAAGATCCATCAAGTGTTCTACACTGAAGCCATCCCAGATGTATCCAGTTCTCAACAATTTATTCGTTTTTATGGCATTGCAGTAGAGAAAATTATAATTAAGTTATGGTTATAATTGTGTGGGATTTTGTAGTGAGGTGTACTATTTTACTGAAATCACTGTGGGTAGACAAAATTAAGTATACTCAAATAGTAATTCAGTACTTAAAAATGTAATAGTATTTTTGTAAAAATGCTTTATATTACTGGAATTTAGATGCTTAGTAACAGTCTATATACAGATCAGGGGTTTACTTTTGCTAGGAATATTAATTTGGTATTCTATAAAATCAAGATATGCCCATTATTAATATTCTGTGACTTCTTAACTGTGACATGAGGTGAGTTTTTATAGCAATCCCAGACATCTAAAGTTAATGAGTCTTACTTGTTTTAAGATTATATTTGCTTAAAATTTGTAAAGAGATCATATTTCATCTTAAATCATGTATCACTGAGGTTGCTGATGTTTTACTATCATATAATCATAAGGAACCCTGGGAGATTTTCTACTCCAACTCCTGCTCAAACAAGGTCAACTAGCTCAGGATGTTGTCCAGTTGGGTTTTGAGTATCTCCAGTGATGGAGATGTGCTTAAACAGAATTTCTTGTGCTTCAACATGTGCCTGTTGCTTCTTGTCCTGTCACTGGACATGACTGATAAGAATCTGCTTCCATCTTCTTTACTCCCTGACCTCCTTCCAAACTGGGTATTTTTACACTTTGATAAGATCTGCCTTGAGCCTTCCCTTCTCCAGGCTGCATAGTCTCACTACATAAAGGGCATTGAATGACTCGAGCGTGTCCAGAGAAGGGCAACGGAGCTGGTGCAGGGTCTGGAGCACAGGTCGTACGGGGAGCGGCTGAGGGAACTGGGGGGGTTTAGTCTGGAGAAGAGGAGGCTGAGGGGAGACCTCATGGCCCTCTACAGCTCCCTGACAGGAGGGTGCAGAGAGCTGGGGATGAGTCTCTTTAACCAAGTAACAAGTTATAGGACAAGAGGTAAAGGCCTCAAGTTGCACCAGGGAAGGTTTAGGCTGGATATTAGGAAGCATTTCTTTACAGAGGGGTTGTTAGGTGTTGGATTGGGCTGCCCAGGGCAGTGGTGGCGTCCCCATCCCTGGAGGTTGGGTTTAAGCGTTGGGTTGACATAGCGCTGAGGGATACGGTGTAGTTGGGAACTGTCAGTGTGAGGTTAATGGCTCGACTGGAGTTCTAACTTCTTCAAGATCTTTTCCAACCTCAATGATTCTGTGATTTTGTGATCCCTCTCAGCCTCTTCTTATATGACAGATGCTCCAAGCCCTTAATCATTTTTGTGGCTCATTGCTGGACTCACTTCGGTATGTCCATGTCTCTCTCGTACTGGGTAGCCCAGAACTGGATCCAGCACTCCACATGTGGTCACACAGAGCTTAGGTCTGCTGCAGATGCTAAGGCAGCACAGGCTGCTATTGGGCTCCTCTGGGGCAAGGGCACATTGCTGGCTCATACTCAGCTTCTTGTCCCCCAGGGCCCCCAGGTGTTCTGTCTGCAAAGCTGCTTTCCAGTTAGTAGTCCCCAGCCAACTGGAGCTTGGGTTTAATCTCCACTTTGATAAATATCAGAGGCTTCTGAAGAAAGTTTATAGCGTCACCAGTGGATGGATCTGTGATTTTTGAGTCTCAATCTTTTTTTTCTGAGATGTTATTTTTGATACAAGTTACTTTAATTATTGAAGTGCTATGTTTCATACACCTTTTTTTCTGAAGTAAGATTTGAATGCCTTTCACTGTGCATCAGCTGTGCAATAGCATGTGTTCTGAACATGTGTGCTTTCTTTCCTTATCAGGCATATGGGAAGGAGTTCGGGTAGACCTTAGTGGAGCAGCATTAAGCTAAAATCCATTACTTTGCTTTTGCCAGCCATGACATAGCAGTTTTTTGTGGTTTAGCTGATGCATACAAGCTTGTATGTGAGCTTATTTACTTGCTAAGAAAACAAACGGGAATAGCAAATGAAATACTCATTAAATTTGTGTTAATTAAACCCAAAGCAGATGCCATATTTATATAGAAGTTTTTTTTTTTTTTTTTAAAACTAGTTCTCCCTCCTTATAATGATGAAAGTCCTGTATAGTTCAGCTCAGAAAAGATACTGAGAGACAGTAAAATGATCTGTGTTTTAATTATTTATTTTACAACCCCTGTATTAGTTCACTTATTATTTCAGCCAAGGTTTATGGTTTTCATAAAACATTTACTGGAACACTTGACTTTACAACTGTAATCTTGTATCTCCATGCAACTTTTTCACTAAGGTGTTTCATATTAAATATAGTATATAATATTTTCCTTCAAAATGAGGTAGAAAATACTTTGATTAATGGACTATCTTTATAGAAAGGATTTTTTTCCTAAATTTGCATTACTAGAGCAAGTAACATAGCTCAATTTCTCTTAATAAGAATAGAGTCCTTAGTTTTTCCTGGAATAAGAATGGAAACATCTGTTTTGTTGGGTATTTAAAAGAATAAAACAGTCGTGTTTTATCAAACTTTCTTCTTAAGGAAATATATGCACTGAAAAGATCAATATTTCACAGCCACATGGATATTTCCACACTGTAAACCGGTAATCAGCAGTCAGTCTTTTTGAGCAAGTGCTTCAGCATGTGCATGCAGACACATCTTTCTCCAGTCCTGGGAAGGGATTCCACCATTCTGTTGTCAGTTCTCTTGGATCACGCTTTCTGAGGCTTACAGGCAGAGCTGAGTAACTTAATGTTCATGCACAGAACAAAGGTAGCACAGCATTTCTGTGAATGGACAAACTCTTTTCTCTTGCCCACCTTTATTCTGTTGGCAGACTGTTGACAACAAAACCAAACAGGATTTGGGGGAATATTTGCTTATAATTGGTGCTCCCTTCAAAGGTAGCATGTTCCTGCTGTGAATGTTTATCCTATTCAGATTGACACTTTGAGCAATGATGTCCCCTCATCATTGGAAGGAAAAATGAAGATTCCTGAAATGCAAGTTTTATCTTACGTCTTTCTGTTTGCATAATGCCAGTGTTGTTCTTTCCTTTCTGGTTACTAATGTCATTACTGTATTTTCTCTGTTTTCCAAATGTCTTTTTCTAATTTTTTTTTTTTTTTTGCTGTACTCACAATATTGTGCCTTGCTGCATGGCCAGGACACCACCTAATTGAGCTGAGGACGTATCTTAATCATGCAGGGTTTTTTTTTTGTGCTGTGTCTTTGCTAGGTCTTGAACAAAATTGTAATCTTCTACTGAAAATGTAGTTCTTGCTAACTAAAGGACAGCTTAAGGCTTCTGCTGACATATATAGAAAATATGGTGATGTTCGCTTTAGTGTGAACACCTGCCCCTGGGGAATGAACAGCTGATGGGTAAACTTTGAGGAAGTGTGAAAAATTCTTGAAACATCGTTTGCTTAGCCACTCAGATGAAACATCATACTGATCAGTGTTTACAAACTATTAATATCTAATTCATAATGAAAGTTTAACTTTAGCTGCATTGCTTTCCCATTTATTCTTCTGTTCCCAATTGGTTCACAACTTTCTGAAGTCTTCATGTGACTGCTCTGGAAAACCTGGAGGTGTAATACAAACCAGAGGACTGAAAAATGGGAAAGGGAAGGAAAAATGGAGAGTAGGGAAGATAAATGTTTCCATCTGAAATGCATGTGAAAATTACTTTAGTTTTATCTATACTATATTAAAATTGGTATGTGTATCTGTGAAGAATAACTTTTCATACATTTGGAGTGAAATTAATATAGATATAGGAGTTCCTACACAGTTCTGTAACAGCGGTGGATTTTGAAACAGATTCAGAGAACTTGTGGTGCCCCCCAGACTCATTAATGTTAATCTCAGGCCACCTTCATGGCTGAAAGACTGCACCCCTGTTACTGTGTCTTATTATGATGTTACGGTTCTTCAGTATGGTTCAAAAGCCTTGTATGTATTTGTCCAAGTTTTACTTCTTTGTTCAAGACAAAAACCTGTTTTTTATTGGTTTTGGTCAACTCTACTCGTTTGGTCTGTTTCCTAGAGAAGGGCAACATACTATGAAGCTACTACATACCTTCCCAAAGTTGAGTGATTTCAGTATAGCTGCTTACTTTCAACTTCCTTCTTATATACTGAAGTTACTCAGATTTCTTTAGTATCTTACAATACAGGAATGCAGGAGGGCAACTCCTATGTTTCAGCCTTTTTAGGCTGGAAAGAAGTATTAAATTATGACTGCAGGAACGCATGTTGTGTTCAGATTATGGTTTTTTATGCCTGACTAAGGATGATTTTGACAGTGAGAGAAATTTGACTCAGCTCAAGATTTCTAGTTTTAAGCAATTGCTTTGCCATAGGTATCCTATATTGACTTGTAAATTTACTTGAGGCCAGTTGTACAGTATCCATTTGGTCAGAATAACAAATAGCGTTACTGAAAATAGTTCATCATGTCTTATAGGGAATTGGTTAGAAAAATCATTAATACAAATGAGATGCTATGGCACTTTATTTAGGACAATGTCTGGATATAAACAGAAATACCTAATATCTTTAAATATAATGAAGCTGTAATACTGTTTTGATTACAGGTACCGAGAGGCTATTCACAAGTGGGATGAAGCACTGCAATTAACTCCAGAGGATGCTACACTTTATGAGATGAAATCGCAGGTAAAGCATAACAATTTTTTATCAGTTTAGAAATTAAAAAACGAAAGCATTGTGCTTGTGAACAGATTCTGTGCAACACTGTGTAGTTGTTGTGCACATTTAGGTTTTTCGTTTTTCCCAACACAACAGGGTATCTTTAACAGGGATTAAAATAATGCTGTTATCTCAGCCAATCAAAATAAACAACATCCCTGTTAGGACATGAATTAGGATGTTACTATGTGGAAAAAGCAACTGAAGTATTTAAAAATTATATTGGGAGGAGCAAGGAGATCCTTACTGAGATACATCAGCAAATTTGACCATTAAAAATCTCTGTTGTTTCTAAAGACTTCAGTTAATACTGTCAATACTATCAGGGATCTGCTTGGCAGAGTAGCATGGGATAAAGGACCGGAGGGAAGAGGGGCCCAAGAAAGGTGGTTGATATTCAAGGATCACCTCCTGAAAGGTTAAGAGCAAGACATCCCAACAAAGAGGACATCAGGTAAGAATGCCAGGAGCTCTGCATGGATGAACAAGGAGCACCTGGACAATCTGAGACACAAAAAGGAAGCTTATAGAGGTACGAAGCAAGGACAGGTAGCCCGGGAGGCGTACAGAGAAAGTGTCAGAACAGCCAGGGAACAAGTTAAGAAAGCTAAAGCCGTGATAGAAATAAATATGGCCAGGGACATCAAAGGCAACAAGATAAGCTTCTATGGATATGTTGCTGATAAAAGGAAGACGAGGGAAGGAAATGGAAGGAAGTAGGAGACCTGGTTACCCAGGACATGGAGAAGTCTGAGGTGCTCATGACTTCTTTGCCTTGGTCTTAACCAGCAAGGGCTCCAACCACACTGCCCAAGATGTAGAATGCAAAGGTGGGAACTAGGAGAATGAAGAACTGCCCACTGTAGAAGATCAGGTTAGAGACACCTAAGGAACATGAAGGTGCACAAGTCCATGGGCCTGATGAGATGCATCGGAGGATCCTGAGGGAACTGGCAGATGAAGTGTCTAAGCCACCATCCATCATATTTGAGAAGTTGTGGCAGTCTGGTGAAGTTCCCACTGATGGAAAAAGGGGAAACATAACACCCATTTTTTAAAAAAGGAAAAAAGAACACCCAGGGAACTACGGGCCAGTCAGTCTCACCTCTGTCTGGCAAGATCATGGAGTGAACCCTTCTTGAAATTGTGAAACATGGAAAATAATGAGGTGATTGGTGACAGCCAACATGGCTTCACTAAGGGCAAATCGTGCCTGAAAAATTTAGTGGACCTACAACAGGGTTACAGTGTTGGTGGATAAGGGAAGAGCAACTGACATCATCCACATGGACTTGTGCAAAGCATCTGACAATGTCCCACATGACATCCTTGTGTATAAATTCAGATACACAGATTTAACAGATGGGTCACTTCGTGGATAAGAACTGGCTGGATGGTTGCACTCAAACAGGTGCAGTCAGTGGCTCGATGTCCAGGTGCAGACCAATGATGAGTGGTGTTCCTCAGGGGCTGGTGTTGGGGCCATGCTGTTTACCATCCTTGTTGGTGACCTGGACAGTGGGGTCGAGTGCACCCTCAGCAAGTTTGCTGGTGATACCAAGCTGTGTGGTGTGGTCAGTGAGCTGGAGGAAAGGGATGTGCATCCAGAGGGACCTGGACAGGTTGGACAGGTGGACCTCTGCAAACCTCATGAAGTCCGACAACCCCAAGTGCAAGGGCAATCCCAAGCACAAATACAGGCTAGGTGATTAGTGGACTGAGAAAAGCCCTGTGAAGCAGGATGTGAGATGTTGGTTGATGAGAAGCTCAACAGGAGCCACCAATGTGTGTTTGCAACCTAGAAAACCAACCATATCCTGGGCTGCATCAAAAGAAATGAACGGAGTTAAATCCAGCTGGCGGCCAGTCACGAGTGGTGTCCTCCAGGGCTCGGTTTTGGGGCCACTTCTGTTTAACATCTTCATTGATGATCTGGACGAGGGGATCGAGTGCACCCTCAGTCAGTTTGCAGATGACCCCAGTTGGGTGGGAGTGTTGATCTGCTCGAGGGTAGGGAGGCTCTGCAGAGAGACCTGGACAGGCTGGAGCCATGGGCTGAGCTCAGCTGGAGGAGTTTCACTAAGGGCAAATGCTGGGGGCTGCCCTTGGGCCACAACAACCCCCAGCAGCGCTACAGGCTTGGGGAGGAGTGGCTGGAGAGCTGCCAGTCAGAGAGGGACCTGGGGGGTGTTGATTGACAGTTGCTGAACAGGAGCCAGCAGTGTGCCCAGGTGGCCAAAAAGGCCAATGGCATCCTGGCTTGTGTCAGCAATAGCGTGGCCAGCAGGGACAGGGAAGGGATCAGACCCCTGTACTTGGAACTGGTGAGGCCGCCCCTCAATTCCTGTGTTCAGTTTTGGGCCCCTCACTACAAAAAGGACATTGAATGACTCGAGCGTGTCCAGAGAAGGGCAACAGAGCTGGTGCAGGGTCTGGAGTACAGGTCGTACGGGGAGCGGCTGAGGGAACTGGGGGTGTTTAGTCTGGAGAAGAGGAGGCTGAGGGGAGACCTCATCGCCCTCTACAGCTCCCTGAAAGGAGGGTGCAGAGAGCTGGGGATGAGCCTCTTTAACCAAGTAACAAGTTATAGGACAAGAGGTAAAGGCCTCAGGTTGCACCAGGGAAGGTTTAGCTGGATATAAAAGGAAGCATTTCTTTCCAGAAGGGGTTGTTAGATGTTGGAATGGGCTGCCCAGGGAGGTGGTGGAGTCCCCATCCCTGGAGGTTGGGTTTAAGTGTTGGGTTGATACAGCACTGAGGGATACGGTGTAGTTGGGAACTGTCAGTGTGAGGTTAATGGTTGGACTGGATGATCTTCAAAATCTTTTCCAAACTAGATATTTCTGTGATTCTGTGAAGTGTGGCCACCAGGTCAAGAGAGGTGATTCTCCCCCTTTGCTCTCGTGAGACCCCACCTGGAGTACTGGGTCCAGCTCTTGTGTCCCCAACATAAAAAGGACATGGACCTTCTTGAGTGAGTCCAGAGGAGGCCACAAAGATGATCAGGGGGCTGGAGCACCTCCCCTGTGAGGACAGGCTGAGAGAGTTGGGGTTGTTCAGCCTGGAGAAGTCTCTGGGGAGACCTTATAGCGGCCTTCCAGTACTTAAAGGGGCTACAGGAAAGATGGGGAGGGACTCTTCATCAGGGGGTGTAGGGATAGGATATGGGGTAATGTTTTAAACTGACAGAGAGTGGACTTGGATTAGATGTGAGAAATTCTTCACTGTGGGGGTGGTGAGACACTGGCACAGGTTTCCCAGAGCAGCTGTGGCTGCCCCCTCCCTGGCAGTGTTCAAGGCCAGGCTGGACGGGGCTTTGAGTGACCTGGTCTAGTGGAAGGTGTCCCTGCCCATGGCAGGGGGTTGGAATGGATGATCTTTAAGGTCCCTTCCAACTCAAAGCATCCTATTATTTTATGGTACAATTCTGTTGACATTAAACAGTGTACAGTATGCAAAAGATAAGTCCAGTCTGTTTTCATATGAAGTATTACATAGACTAATTAGTCTGGGAAAAGAGCATTAAATGTAGTATACTTATGATGTCAATCCATCTGAGGTTTTATTTTAAAGCTGTTTTAAGGAAAACGTCTTGCAGCCATCCATGCCTCATTGAAGTTATTAGTTCAGCTTGTAATTTCTGTGTGTCTTTGTGTGGCTTAGGTGAAAGTGTCAGGATTCTTTTTGTACTTCGAAGTTTTGTATGCAAAGGGTACAAAAATATCCCCAAAAAATCCCAAACCCAAAAAACCCCCAGCAGAACCCAAGAAGCAGAGCTATTTTTCAAGGTGCAGTGACTTTTCTTTCTTTTCCTGGATGCAGTCATATCTCCTTTTCACATTCATGTTGTCTGTGAAGTGAAGAAAGCTTTATTCTGGAATAGAATTAATGGAATAATCATAAGCTTATTTCTATACAGTAGTGCTGATGGAGGTTTTTGTTTTTTATATCTGCAGAAGATTTAGACCTTTCTTGGGTTTGCATTTCGTTTGAGAAATACTTTATGTCTTTAAAGGTTTATCTTCCTGAATTATTTAGGGGTAACTGGATTGCTTTGTCAACATCATATGGCTATAATGGATCCAGATTAACTGTGTTAGGAAGAACTTGTGGAGGGATGCATCTGAAGGACTGATTTCTCATTGGTTCGTTAATTTGAATGGTGTTGGTAATAAGATGCAGTAGTTGTTTTTACTTTAAATCACTGATATTTTCCTAGTGCAGTTCTTATACTGTGTTCTACATGGTGCTGAAAAGTGGGCATTTGTTCTACTCACTTTCTCACCAGGCTAGATTTTTACTCTGTTATTTCTTCCTTACTTCTAAAACAGGAGGCATATATATTTTTAGAAAAAATAAAAATCTCTTTATGCATGTTGTTCATACCTTGTAGAAATTCTGCAGTGGTACTTTCTCTTAACTTGGGCATGGTTAGGATCAGATCTATATGTTATTTAGATAGCATATTAGTATTTACAGATTTCCTATATGATTTAGGTGTTTTAGCCCTACATATGATTCTAGAGTTTTGTGGTAAGAAAACATCTTAAACATGTAAACGTCCATTGAATATTTATTTGTATTTGGATTTGCCTTTATATCAGTGCTAACTTAAAGAAAGATCTGTCTAGCCTAGTATCCTGACAAGTTCCAGCAGTGGATGGGTGGAAAAGAGTCATACAAATGGTACAAGCATGTAGCAGAACTTTCCCCATGGTAATTTTCCCAGCCTCCAGCAAGTTTTGGCCCTGGGACTTTTCTGTGTTTAAAAGTGCTTGAAGGATTTTTCTTCAACAAATTTGTCTCATTGGTTTCTGCTGTCATGTAAACTTATAGCATCTGCAGAGCTATGTGCCAAGGGTTACAAATACTAATTATGCACTATTGGAAGAGATAGAATAATATAATTAGTCTTTAATTAGCATCTTCGCAGGTTGCTATAAAGGTGTTAATTTATGTAGCTGTTA